CAAGACTCGCGTCCCCGTGTGGTGTCCCAGCCTGTGATGGTGAGTGCCGACCTGTACACTCATCCTCTCGGCGGCCTGTGGGCCTGGCCCTGTGCGCAGTGCCGGCGAGGAGAACGCCCAGCCCTGGTGCCCGGTAAACGAAACCCTCCAGCTCACCAACAGCCTGTCCCTGCCGAGGCTCAGCAGTCTGGGCTCATTGCTGTCCAGGTGGACCCCAAACAGGAGGCTCCGGATGCTCTTGCGGTGCGAGCGGAGTCTCGCCAGGTACTCCCAGACCCTGGTTCCCTTCCGGACAAACACCATGTAGACAGCTACGGTGAAGCTGACATCCTGCGGAGAAGCGAGACCCAGAAATGGTTTCTTTCCTTTTCCCCCCTTTCCTTCTTTCCGTCTTCCTTTCTTCTTTTTGCCGTAAGGCATGTGCGCTCACCAGAGTGAGACAGAGAGGGGGAAGCACCCCGGACGGGGCGTGGTCACACTAACCCTCCATTTCTCCAGCCTGCAGGGTTTGGAGCACGCATGCACACGGGCCGGTGTGTTTTTCAAGCCACCAGGACCGTGGTGTTAACTGGTCAGCCAGGGGGGATCCGGCTCCCTGAAGCACTAGGCCACTGGGCCAGCCCTGGACTATCTTCCCTAGGAAAACAGCTTTGTCTATCTTCCCTAGGAAAACAGCTTTGTGTGCGGAGGGAGTGGAAACAGATGCAGGGAGCTTACAGAGCCGGCGGGGAGAGCGGCTCTGACCCCGCTCTTACCCTCTTTTCCAAGGCCTTGCCTCGTCCTCAGGGAAAACCAAGACCCTGACTCTTTTTTGTCTCTGTCCTCCCTTCTCTTCATCTGTTGCATAAAACGTAAAAGGTGTGATTTAAAAAGGGAATGAGGGGGGGGGAACCAGCAGTTAGTGTAATGGCTATGTCGCTGGACTCCCACGTAGTCGACCGCAGTTCGTGTCCCGGACCCGGTGGCTTAAAACTCACGCCGGGCGCGTGTGCATGCGTGCCCAAGATCCCGAGAGAGAATGGAGGAGAAGGGATTGCAGCGTGACCATCCCCCCTGGGGGGTGATTTCTCGCTTTCTGTCTCTATGTCTCTCTCTGTCTGTCTGGCGAGCGCACGCGCCCTACAGTGAAAAATCTCTCAAAAAAAAAAAAAGGGGAATGAGGGGGACCAGGCGATGGCATAATGATTACGTCACTGGACTCCCACATGGCCGACCGTGCTTCAAATCCAGGACTTGGAGGCTTGAACTCACGCCAGGCACATGTGCGTGCCCAAAATCCCAAGAGGAGAAGGGATTGTGCCTGGCCATCCCCCAGGGGGTGATGTCTCACTCTCTGTCTCTCTCTCTGGTGAGTGCACATGCCCTATAGCAAAAATCTCTTTGGAAAAAGAAAGGAAAAGGGAGCGAGGGCTGAGTGGGACCGGCAGAGCAGGAGGGGGCGGCTGAGCCGCAGACAGCAGGTGCCAGATGGCTTCAGTGGCCGCTGGGAGAGGAGGAGCACCAGAAGGTGGCCAGTGAAGACACCGCTCCTCCCCCACCGACCCGTGCCAAGGAAGACAGTGAGAACCAGCAGGGGGGAGGTGAGAGAGCTAAGAAAACCTTCCCTCCAACAGCCTTAGATCTTATTCAAGAGGGAATGAAAAAAATCCAAAAACCTGGTGGAGGGACTTGAGATGGATGAGAATGCCATCTTGTCAAAAGTGAGGAAAGAAGAAAGAATGAAGGCAGGGACAGGGGGACAGGGCTCCCGGGTGAGAATAGGGCTTCTGGGTGAGGACAGGGTTCCCGGGTGGGGACAGGGCTCCCGGGTACAGGGACAGGGCTCCCGGGTGGGGACAGGGCTCCCAGGTACAGGGACAGGGCTCCTGGGGCAGAGAGAGGGTCCCGGGTGCAGAGACAGACTTTCAAAAATCAAAACACTGAACCAAACTGAGAGACCCTGCCAGTGCTCCAGTCTCTGGTCCGGTTTTCGGTCAAAGGTCCTCCCCTCCACACCGTCCTCCCCTCCACACTGTCCTCTTAGCGGCGAGCCTTACAGGGGTGTCGTTCCCGGGCCACACGATTCGCCAGTTCAAGACCATGACGCAAGGCGTTTGGTGCGTGCACAGAGCTGGCCCTCGTCGTCACAGTTCTAAGCATTTGCGTCTCTCCGCCAGCCCTTTCTCCCTTGCGGTGTTCCGTTCGTTTGTTTCTGGACAGGGTCTCGCTATAGTGACCCCTGCCTCAGCCTCAGCCGGGACTGCAGGCACGTGCCACCGTACCTGGCTCTTTGTTTTTTGTTTTGTTTTGTTTTCTTTTCTTTCTTTTTTTTTTTTTTTTTTTTTGCCATAGAGTGTGTGTGCCCGCCAGAGACAGAGACAGATAAAAAGAATATGAGAAATCACCCCAAAGTGGATGGCTACGCCACAATTCCTTCTCCTCTACTCTCCTCTCGGGGTTTTGTGCATGTAAGCACATGTGCCTTGCGTGATTTTTCAACCCACCGGGCCCGGGAATCAAACCATAGTCGACGGTGCGGGAATCTAGTGCCTTAACCAACATGCCACCTGCTGGCTGCACCTGGCTCTTTTTTAAACAGTCTCACCGTGCTGCCCAGGCCAGCCTGGGGCTGACCATCCTCCCGCCTCACCTCCCCCAGGGGCCGGGTACACCACACATCACTGTGCCCAGCCTTCACGGTGCAGGGACAGGGCTCGAACCCAGACCTCCCCATGGTCCGGGTTCAGCAAAGTGCGCCACTGTGGCAGGGCCGACGTGGTGTGGTGAGGTTGCCGCGTGGCTGGCGATCGGCGAGCACTTACGGCTGTGGCCATGTACTGCGAGTCATGGGAGAAGCTTATGTGCGTCACGCTGGTTCTGGAGTACTTGAAAGGCTTTGGGCTTTGGTTTTCTAAAGACATGGCGTCCAGGATGCAAACCGTCCCCTCGGTGAAGCCAGCACCAAGGAGGGCTCCTGCAAGACAGGCCAGAGAGCAGTGAAGGGAAGGGCTCCACCCGCCAGGAGCTGCTGAGCCTGTGCCCAGCGCATGGCCGGCACAGAGGCCGCGGCGAGCACCGCGGGACGAGCACTGTGGGCCGCAGCCCGCAGAGGAACAAGCTGCCACGCCTGGCCTCTGGGAGGAGCACCCAGACAGTCCTGGGTCCGTGGAGCAGCGGCGTCGGGAGAGAAGGGCCTCACACAGTCTGGGGGAACTTCACCCGCTCCAGAGCCGTGACAGACAAAGGCATGGCCCCGCTGGGTCCAGACTTGCTGTTTTTCTTTTCTTTTCTTTTTTCGGAGAGGTTTTGCTATAGGACGCATGCGCTCACCAGAAAGAGAGAGAGAGACCGAGAGACAGAAATCACCCACCAGGGGGGATGGCCACGCCGCAATCCCTTCTCCATTCTCCTCTCGGGACCTTGGGCATGCACGCACACGCGCCCAGTGTGAATTTAAGCCACCAGGTCCGGAGCCTGTGCCCAGCGCATGGCCGGCACAGAGGCCGCGGCGAGCACCGCGGGACGAGCACTGTGGGCCGCAGCCCGCAGAGGAACAAGCTGCCACGCCTGGCCTCTGGGAGGAGCACCCAGACAGTCCTGGGTCCGTGGAGCAGCGGCGTCGGGAGAGAAGGGCCTCACACAGTCTGGGGGAACTTCACCCGCTCCAGAGCCGTGACAGACAAAGGCATGGCCCCGCTGGGTCCAGACTTGCTGTTTTTCTTTTCTTTTCTTTTTTCGGAGAGGTTTTGCTATAGGACGCATGCGCTCACCAGAAAGAGAGAGAGAGACCGAGAGACAGAAATCACCCACCAGGGGGGATGGCCACGCCGCAATCCCTTCTCCATTCTCCTCTCAGGACCTTGGGCATGCACGCACACGCGCCCAGTGTGAATTTAAGCCACCAGGTCCGGGACTCAAACTGCAGTCGACTACTTGGGAGTCCAGTGACATAGCCATCACACCAACTGCTGTCCCTGTTGTTGTTTAAAAAGTTGCCAGGAGTGTGTACATGCCCGAGAGCGGCAGAGAGGAAGAGGGTAAGGCACCTCCCGTGGGGAAGGGGCACGCCCAACCCCGTCTCTGTTTCCCCATCCTGTTGCGACCCGGACGTGCTCACACGTGTCTGGAGCGGTTTTCAAGCCCCTGCATCTGGGTCTCTTCACCAGTAAGCCGTGGGGCAGTCCCTGGGTCTGGTTTTGACTCAGAACTGATGACGAAATGAAAAATACCTTCCGGGTTGTAGGTCAGACTCTGGACTCCAAGCCCTTTCTCGAAGACCCTGCTGAAGAGGTATCTTTTCTCCTCGTAATTCCACACTTTGATCATCCCACAGACGCTCCCAATGGCAATCAGGGGCTGGTACGGGTGGCAGGAGATGGCGCAGATGGCATCCTTGGGCTCCACGAACAGCTTCTCGAGTCTGGTCCCATCTGTGGTTAAGTGGTACACCGTGGCGTCGGCGGTTCCAATGATGAAGTTCCTGTTTGCCAAGGAGACCCCAAACAGCATCAGCGTTTGGGGGGACGGGCACACCAGCTATTCTGCTTCTAATTGCACACGGACTGCCTCTGTCGTCTGTAATTTAGTGACATTATTAACCCCACATCTCCAAAAATACACCACCAATACCCAACAGCCTCTATTTGCAAGTGAAAAAGCCCACTTTTCAACATGTAAATGGAGTCATTAAGTATGCAGATGGACAGTCAATGGTACAATTAGCTAATCTGCACATGCAAATATTCATCTGTGTATGCAAATATGGAGTTTGGTGCACACATACAGATGTGCCTGTAAAAACTGCAAGGGCAATTAGGCAAGCTCACAGACGCCGCCGTCCTGAAATGTCATGGCTAGTAATTACCCAGTGCCTTTAACCGTGGGGACTAGGGCTCCTCTGAAAGAAGAAGGTCAAGCTCCTGAGAAAAACTCCAGACAACAGAGCTTAGGGCTTGGGATGCGGGCTTTCCAGCTCCCGGTTACTAAAGGTTCTTACTATAAAAATGATGTGTAAGGTTTTGCCATAGGGCATGTGCATTCACTGAAGAGAGACAGAAAGAAAGTGACCAATCACCCCACAGGGGAGATGGCCATCCCCAAATCCCTTCCCTTCCATCCTGCTCTGGGGATTTGGGGCATTTACGCACACGGTGCCCAACACAATTTTCAAGCCACCTGGTCCGGGACCACGGTGGTTGGCCGTGCAGAAATCCAGCACCTTAACCACCACGCCACCTGCTGGCCCCAATAATGTTGGTCAATAATGTTCATTTCTAAATTTTCAAACAGTGGTTGTAACCAGCAAGGAGATCCATTTGCAAGCCAAGTAAAGGACTGGCGAGGAGGGCCGGGCCCTCTGTTTCACACCCCAGGAGAAGATGAGCGTCCGTCCCGCGGGATGCAAACTCAAAGTCTGACTACCCTCATGCTTCTGGGAACTTCTCTGGCAAACTGACGACCCAGGTGACCCAGCCTTAGCCACTTGCCTTACAACGAATGCGTCCCCTTTCAGAGTGCAGTCTGGAGGGAAGCTGGATTTCTCAGTAGGAGCTGCCGGGCTCTTTGAAAAGGACAGTGTTCGTATGGAGCTCAGCTTGAAGTGGCTGTACCAGTTAACGATGGACAGGGTGCGGTCGTAGAACTTGATGTTACCCCTAACGTCACCTGTGACGATGTAGCTGAAACGGAGGGTAACATCCGTTAACCAGCAGCAAGGAGAAGTACTGTCTATCGAAGCCCAGGAATCATAGCGACTTCCTGAACACTGCCCAGTGAGGCTGATTTTTACAGAGGAAACGAAAGCTCACGTACGTTAAGAAACCTGCTCCAGGCCTCGGGTTGCCAGATATGGCCAACAACAATACCAAAGGCCTGAATCTCAGAAAACCAGTGGATCATCTTTTAGCATAAGTATATCCCAAATATTGCAAGCCTGCCAGGGTCACTTGGCTAGAGCATGCGGGGGACCCAGGTACACCTCAGGCAAAGCCCACGCTCTGCGGTACCCTCTTCCCTGTCCTCCGAGACCAGCCACGTGCAATGGTGGGCCGTGATTTATAGACCCCGCCACAGGACGACAGATGACCATGGAGTCATCTAGCAGCCCTCCGGGTCACACGGGTGAGCGATGGCACACAAGCTGCTCCACGGGAAGGCGCTGCTGTCAGAGCGATCGTAAAGCCCTGGCCAGGCGTCGCCAAAGGCAGTACTGCGTGACAAAATGGCTTTTATTTCCAGTCCTCAGATCTATCCCAAATGGGCTGGTATTTTGTTTTTTTTCTTTCTTTTTTTATAAAGACTCCGACATAATTCTAATCACGGGGGGGGGTGACAGGGGTGATGAATTTTCTGTTACACACGCAGAGTGATTAAATGAGGTTTCTGACTACCAAGCAGGGCAGGTGGGCCGCATAATTGGCTAGAACGTCTTTCACTGCCCTCTGCTGGACAGAAAAGGCAAAGCGGGATGACGGCGGGCCCTTTTCCTTCCTGGGCTGGGTTTTATTTAGCATGGAGAAAGGGGACCCAGGTCCTAACCTCCAACTAAGTAGAAGTGGATCCCATTGTCAGCTGCTGTTCTGCTGCGGTCTTTCATACCGCCGGGTGAGGGTGACGATTTGCACTTTTTTGTAAAACCATGCCTCGGCATCAAAAGAAAGGCGATTGGAAGCAAATGGCCCTTCTGAAGTAGATGGCACCGCGAGCCCCACCATCTGGGCAGGGCTCCGGGGGGGGGGGAGACAGGGGGGATGAATTTTCTGTTACACACGCAGAGTGATTAAATGAGGTTTCTGACTACCAAGCAGGGCAGGTGGGCCGCATAATTGGCTAGAACGTCTTTCACTGCCCTCTGCTGGACAGAAAAGGCAAAGCGGGATGACGGCGGGCCCTTTTCCTTCCTGGGCTGGGTTTTATTTAGCATGGAGAAAGGGGACCCAGGTCCTAACCTCCAACTAAGTAGAAGTGGATCCCATTGTCAGCTGCTGTTCTGCTGCGGTCTTTCATACCGCCGGGTGAGGGTGACGATTTGCACTTTTTTGTAAAACCATGCCTCGGCATCAAAAGAAAGGCGATTGGAAGCAAATGGCCCTTCTGAAGCAGATGGCACCGCGAGCCCCACCATCTGGGCAGGGCTCCGTCACGAGGCAATGCCCTCATGCTTCTGAGAACTTCTCTGGCAAACTGACGAGGGCCGTCCTTCCCTGGGGCTCCCTGTGCCGAGCAGTGTGCTGTTTCCTGCCTTGTCTCAGGGAGTCCTCAAATAACCACCTGAGAGCTGCCGGGCAGCGGCACAGCAGGAACACAGCTGGACATGCACGGCAGGTGTTCTAGGTTTGCGTCCCAGGCCCTCCCTGGGCATGTCGGACACATGTGTGCATGTCTGTGATCGGACCCCCTGAGACTGGGGGGTGGAGACCCCGCTGAGGTGTCTATCTCTCTGTCTCTCCATCTCTCTACTTCTGGCTCTTTCATTGCAGGAAAAAAAATAAATAAACTTAAAATATTCAGCCAAAGCTGAAAAATTCACCTTAAAAAATAATTACTCTGGGGACCAGCAGATCGCATAATGGTTACGTTGCTGGACTCCCGTGTAGTCGACCGCGGTTTGAATCTCAGACCTGGTGGCTAAAAACTCGTGCAGGGCGTGTGTAGGTGTATGCCCCAAATCCCAGGAGAACGGAGTAGAAGGGACTATGGTGTGGGCATCTCCTCTGAGGGGCGATTGCTCGCTTTCTGTCTCTCTGTCTCTCAGGCAAGCAAATGCAGCCTATAGCAAAAATCTCTTTCTGAAAAAATAGAAAAGCTAGCGCCCCGAAACACTGAGACAGAGCTTTTTTAAACCTGAAGTGTGTCCTGGCGCGTTCAGGGACCGAGGTGACTGAAGCTATGCTCCAACCCCCACCTTCTAGACCCCGAAACGCTGAGACAGCCACTGAAATCCTCGACACTTGAACCTCCTGCCTTAAGGAAGAAACTCTTTTTCATAAATCCGAACTCAAAATCTTTCTGTGGGTATCACATTGCAAAACGCAGTAGAGATTTTGCCACAGAATGACCAGAAACCACTGCAGAGGCACAAGAAATATGAGGAACCAAGAAAGTCTCTCTCCCCTAAGGGGAAAGAACAATCCTTCAGACAGTTCAGTGGAACTCGTAGAAACGTCCGATAGAGAGTTCAGAATATTCATAGTGACAGAACTAAAGGAGATGCAAGAGCTGAGAGACAATGAGCTCCAGAAGATGCAGGAGGAGAGACAATGCCTTCCAGGAGGTGAGGAAGTTCTCGCACGATCTGAAAGGAGAAATACACACCATAAAGAAGAATCAAACAGAGCTGGGACCAGCAGGTGGCGAGGTGGTTAAGGCACTGGATACTCCCACATGGTGGACCACGGTTCAATTCCTGGACCTGGTGACTTGCTTTCTCACTTTCTCTTTCTCTCTCTGTCTCTCTCTCTCTCTCTCTCGCAAGCACAGAAGCACCTCTGGGCTAATTAAAGAAAAAGAATGAGTTTAAAAAAAAAAAAAAAAAACAGAGACTGAAATAAAATTTTTTTAAAAAAAATGGAGCTGTTAGAGATGAAGGTTGCAATACAGGAAATCAAAACCTCCCTTGAAAGTATTAAAAGCAGATTAGTCTATGGAGAAGATTGAATCTCAGATGTCAAAGACAAAACCTCTGACTTAGAAAAAAAACCAAAAAACTGAGAAAATAACCAAAAAAGGAACCAGCAGTTGGCGTATGGCTATGTCACTGGGCTCCCATATAGTTGACCGTGGTTCGAGTCCCAGACCCGGTGGCTTAAACTCATGCCTGGCGTGTGTGCGTGCATGCCCAAGATCCCGAGAGGAGAACAGAGAAGGGACTACAGTGTGGCCATCCCCCCTGGGGGGTGATTTCTCACCTTCTGTGTCTCTGTCTCTCTTTGTCTTTCTGGTGAGTGCACGTGCCCTACAGCAAAAACCTCTCAAAAAAAAAAAAAAAGAATCCATACCATGAAATAACCTAACCTGGACTTTTCTAGCCCAGCACTGTAATCAGTAGAGATTGCAAAATAACAGCCACAACTAGAGGATTATCTTTGAAGCAAGACTTTGAAGGAAGAAAAAGAGACTGACCATTGCTAGCAGCTGGTCTATCACAGAGTACTAGGTGGGCAGGGCTGAACTGAGGTGTGTGTGTGAATGGTGTGCTGGGTGTTTGCTTTGCAACAGTTGGAGTAGTTGACACCTAAATGCTTTCTCGAAAATAAAAAAACAGGGAACCAGCAGTTAGCGTAATGGCTATGTCGCTGGACTCCCACGTAGTCAACCACGGTTCACGTCCCGGACCCGGTGGCTTAGAACTCACGCTGGGGCGTGTGTGCGTGTGTGTCCAAGATCCCGAGAGGAGAATGGAGGAGAAGGGATTGCAGCATGACCATCCCCCCTGGGGGGTGATTTCTCGCTTTCTGTCTCTCTCTCTGTCTGTCTGGCAAGTGCACGCGCCCTATAGCGAAAACCTCTCAAAAAAAAAAAAATTAAAAACATACTGTCTCTGTTGTTGTAGAATCACAAACAAAATTTATACATATATATATACAAACAAAAATTATAACAAATATTTCAAACATTATCTTTAAAATTCAGTTTTTTGAATTTGAAAGTTGCTTATTAAGTGCAAGAACTATGGAGTATGAGCAAAAGTTTTTGATATGTAAAGTAATGTTTGTGGAAAAACATAAAATGAAATAAATAAATGATTAAAAAAAGAAAGAAAGAAATGACTCTGAGGGGCCAGCAGGTGGCGTGGTGGTTAAAGTGCTGGACTCCCACATGGCCAACCGAGGTGTGAGTCTCGGACATGGCGGCTTGAAAATCACACTGGGTGTGTGTGTGTGTGCACCCAAGATCCCGGGAGGAGAATGGAGAAGGGATTGCGGGTTGACTATCCCCCCCTTGGGGGTGATTTCTCGCTTTCCCTCTCACTGTCTCTCTGAGCGCACACACGCCATGGCCAAAAAAAAAAAAAATCTGCGGTAGTATGGTTCTGTCCACTTCACAGATGCAGAAGTGAAGGCTCGGTAAAATGAAACCAACCATTCGAGGCCACTGGGGGGAGGGATGCAGCCCTGTTCCAAGGATTTTACTGATCGGCTGTGGGTCCCTGTGGCTTCCTGAAATCAAAATGTTAGTGCACCTCATATACCCTCTGCTGCATTTGATCTTTCCAGAATGGGTGTTATTTTGTAATCAGCTGAAAACAATATAGCTACTTGAGTTATTCTCTTCAATTTATGACATGTAAAATTTGGGGTTGCAAAGTAAGTCTAATTAGCACAGAAGAAGAAAAAACGTCAGTTACTCTTCATTTCACCAACACAAAGCAATGGTGTAACATAATGCATGCCCAGGATTTTCTGAAAATCCAATGAGCACAAAAGGGACTATAAAAAGAAGTAAACCCACCCCCAGCCTTGGTCCCAGTTCTCGGTTCTTGTCCTCAGAGGCAGCAGCCAACGTTCCCAGTTAATTGGGACGCTTTCCAGAAATATCCTATTCGTGTGCGAACTACAGGTGCACCTGCTCGCGGTTTTGGTGCCGTAATCGCCTACGGCCACTTCCCATGAAGTGAATTACCCGTCGACTGCAGTGAGCACGGTGATACCCTCTTTCTGCAAATGGACCAGTTTACAAGGCTTGATGTAGGGGAAGCCCACAAAGGTGGCGGAAGACGGCGGCGGCCGGTGTATGTCCCAGACGACCAGCTTCCCTTCCATGGTCGCCGAGAGGATTTGTGTTAAATTCAAGTGAAAGACGGACTGGCTGAATTTCCCCACGAGCTTGTTGAATGTCTGTTTTTGAAAAGACAGGTTATGAGTTACCGTCGGTAATAAATGTAAAATAACACGTAGCACGAGATTGTGTAACAGTAAGCCAAAACGTGGCAGGAAAAAGAGAAGGGGGAGAACATCACCAGACACCACCCCCTAGAGCCTGCGCTGTTCTGGACCTTTCTGAAGGTTTGCAAAGAGCAAATCTGTGTTCAATTAAACTGTGCATCAGAGTAAATAAAGAGTAATTAGTCGCTGTTTATACCTGGTTAGCTTCTCTTAGGGAGGTTTCACAAACTGATACCGAAAACACATGTCTGATATGAGCAGAACCATGTTCTAGTTATAAAACATAATAAATAATTCTCCCAACCTCCTTTGATCAGGAAACATTTTCCCATCGTAGAAAGTACTTAAGCGTTGTACATGAAAATGCTCTGAATAAGACTCCATATTCAATTCGTGCTCTGTAAAATAAGGCGCAAGGCCATCTTTCTCAGACAGTATCTTAGAGATGAAGAACAGGAACAGCCCAGAGAAGTGATAAAGCCCCTTAGTAAATGTTTATGGAATGAAAAATATTTTTAAAAACTCAGCAACCTGTCATACAACAAAGCTGCCTGAGTCTCTCGTTACACACAGAAGATCCTGGGGTTTGTCTTCTGTCTTAAACAAAAGGAGCAGTAAAATAAAAACTGGCCAAGCAAGAGCATCAAGTTCTTCCTAAGAGCAGCACTCAATAGAAAGCATTTTTATCATTTCAAATTGCAGGCAATATTCACTATCTCTGGAAAATTCTCTATTTGCAGGGCCGGCAGATGGCGTGGTGATTAAGGGCACTGGACTCCCACATGGCCGATTGCAGTTCGAGTCCCAGACCTAGTGGCTTGCTTTCAAGTTTTCCCTCTCTCTCTCTCTTGCTCTGTCCCTCTCTGGTCAAATAAAGAAATAAAGTTAAATAGTTCTTAAAAAAAGAAAAGAAAATTCTCTATTTGCAAATTTCTCCAACCTTTACATATTTATTTATTTATTTATTTGAGAGACATTTTTGCTTTCAAAAACTGGGAGGAGAGGGAGGAGAAAGGACTACAGCATGGCCATCCCCCGGGGGGTGATTCCTAGCCTTCTGTCTCTCTGTGTCTCCAAAGAGCACACACTTTCCTATAGCAAAAATCTCTCTTAAAAAAAAGTTACTACTGGGAACCAGCAGTTAGCGTAATGGCTATGTCGCTGGACTCCCACGTAGTCGACTGCGGTTCGTGTCCCGGACCCGGTGGCTTAAAACTCACTCCAGGCGCGTGTGCGTACGTGCCCAAGATCCCGAGAGGAGAATGGAGGAGAAGGGATTGCGGCGTGACCATCCCCCCTGGGGGGTGATTTCTCGCTTTCTGTCTCTATGTCTCTCTCTGTCTGTCTGGCGAGCGCCCTACAGTGAAAATCTCTCCAAAAAAAAAAAAGTTACTATACATCATACCGAGAGAGAAGAGAAAGCAGCTAGAGACAGAACTCAGATTGCGCCTCCGCCGCCCGCCTGAGGAGGTGAGGTAGACAGGCTGCTCTCTCAACCTCGGGCCTATCACCGGCACACCCGACATCATTTTCTTTATTCTGAAACAAAGCGGCCTCCTGTTCCAGTTCGCGTTCAACTCTTCGACTTCCACTCTTCCCGATCCACTTTTGCTTTTTGTCAGTCTGCAAACAGGCATTATAAAAGTCCCCGCTTTTTGGGGTTTTGCTTGTGGTAACTTTTTTTTCCACAGCATTTTATTTTTAATAGTACTTCCATTACTTCCAACTGACAGGTCAATATTGATTTTTTTTTTTTAAGTGAAAGTTTTCAAATTGTTTCTTAGTGGGTTTAAATCACAACGTGCAAAGAGTAGCCCGGAGCGCCTAAGCTCGCACACTGGTGTTTATTCTCCACGGAATCTGAATCAAAATTCAGGCATACTCACTTTTTCTGTTAAAAGCGGGGCACTGTGAGCAAGTATATCTTTCTCTTCATACTGGTGAGAACAGAAGAAACAGTCACCGCTAAGAAAAGAACTGGTTTCCAAAAGAGGAGCTACATAGCAACCACATCAAAACAGAAACGTCTCAACAGAGTCAGGGGTGTGCAATGTCTACAGGTAAGGAAGCCGCTGCCTCGGGGAACATCCGAACACATTCTGGGAGAAAAGTAAATACAAGGAAAACGCCACAAGAGCCAGACATGAAAGCACATGCCAGTAATCCCCAGCTTACTCAGGAGGCTAAGGCGGGAGGTCTGAGAGTTTGAAACCAGCTAGGGTAACAAAAAACCCACAAATGGTTGTGACTTCAAATGGCAGCTAACGCAAATTTGAATTCGACGTTAATAGGCTTTAAAATGATAATAAATGCCTAGGGGCCGGCAGGTGGCGTGGTGGTTAAGGGCACTGGACTCCCACATGCCCGACAGCGGTTCGAGTCCCGGACCTGGTGGCTTGCTTTCACACTTTCTCTCTCTTTCTCACTTTCTCTCTCTCTCTCACTTTGCCCCTCTCTGGTCAAATTAAAATAAAGTTAAATAAAATAACTTTTAATAAAAAGATAATAAATGCCTGAAGTGGTGAATATCACTAATTAAATGTAAATAAAACAAGAAAATAAAGGGAAAGATGACTGTCACTGGCGGTCGGCAGTTCAATGTGTCTTTGTTTTGCACTTTTCGCTGATGTAAAATTCACTTAACCTGACGCTCACTGCTCTACCGTGCACCGTTCCACGGCACCCAGCATATTCACGTGCTGGGGAGCCTCCACCTCTGGCTAGTCCCAAGACGGATCATCACCCTAGAAGAACCGCGTTCCCGTTAAGCAGTCGGCTCCCCATTACCCCCTCTCGCCAGCCCCAGACCCCCAGACTGATGTCTGCGTGGGTCTGCCTCCTGTGGACAGTTTATGTCAGCCGGATCAGACAACAGGAGACATCTGTGTCTGGCTGCTTTGGCGTGGCTCAGCCGGGTCAGCGTGTGCCAGGACTCTGCCCGCTCACGCTCCTCGCCTGCTACCCGCGTTTAGTCTCCCTGCTAACAGCTGGTAGACCTTCGGTTCACTCACACCAAAAGCTCAACCGGGAATGGTGCTACGGCTGCCAACATCCGTACAGATGTTGAAGGCCTTGAAGGCCTCCTTTCAGTTCCTTCAGGGACACGTCTAGGAACTCCTGATTCATATCGTAATTCTGTGTTCAACTTGCAATTTGTTTCCATTTAGTTTTCTTTTGCTTTTAGATTTTTTTCCCCATAGGGTGAGTGTGCTCTCCAGAGAGAGACAGAGGAGAGGGAAAGCGAGAAACCACCCCCCCTGGGAGGAGGTCACACCCCAATCCCTTCACCTTTATTCTCCTCTAGGGATTTTGGGCATGCACATACATGCACCTGGCATGTTTTTCAGGTCACCACGGCTGGGACTTGAAAAATGGAGTCAGCCATGCAGGATCTAGTGCCTTCATCAATACGCCACCTGCTGGCCCTAGACTTGTTCTTCGATGAAAGAGAGAAAGAGGGGGATATTTTCAACATGATCACGCCATGCCATGATCCTCCTGGCCAGCCGCCCAGTAGCTAGGACTACAGGCACCCACCCTATGCCCAGCAAGTCTAGGCATCTCCAAGGTCCAAGCGGGGTCTCCCATGCAGCTCCAACTCTGCACAGCACCCTACAGCCCGTGCCACCTCGTGGGGCTTCTCCAACCTCCCGACTTTGCCTCATGCTGGTAAGTATCACTCGTCTATGTGCTAGTCCTTCTACAGAAGGATGAAGTCCAGAGGCTCCAAAAACACCTATATTCTTAGACCTGCTAAATATAGTCAAATATTAAAAAAAAAAAAAAATAGAGAGGGACCAGCAGTTAGCGTAATGGCTATGTCGCTGGACTTCCATGTAGTCAACAGCAGTTCGAGTCCCAGACCCAGCAGTCGACTGTGCGTATATGCCAAAGATCCCGAGAGGAGAATGGAGGAGAAGGGATTGCGGTGTGGCCATTCCCCCCCCCAGGGGATGAATTCTCGCTTTCTGTCTCTCTCTGTCTTTCTGGTGAGCGCACGCACCCTACAGCAAAAAAACCTCTCCAAAAAAAGAAAAAAAAATGATATATATGTAGTCAAATAAATATTAGGTTGTTGTAAAAGTCATGTCACGTTTTTGTATAGAAAAACAGAAAAAATACATCACGACTTATTCTGACCATCCAATATTTGCCTCATTACTTAAAAAAAAAAAAAACTGAACAAAATTTAATTATCGGCTTCTGATTTAATATGCTAATTACCAATGGAACTGAAATAAATACAATAATTAAATCAAAACGTTTTAAGATCTACCCATTGCTTCCTAAGTCGATACTGTTTTGTTGCATTACCCGCGTGTCCGCAGTCCAAGAACGAACGTGCACTCGTGCCCACACTGAAAGGAAACCCTAATACTTCTACTTACCCAGGAGTAATAGATGGCCTGCGTCTTGCTATTGCTCACCAGTTCTTTATTATTGGTTGGATTAAACATAATGTAGTGCTGAAATACAAAGCAGGAAAATATATTACGTGATAATAAATGAGGCCGAACGTCAGAATTACACGATCGTTTGAATTAAAGTAACTGAGTAGGAATATAAACCAGAAAAGGCATGACATTTGGCACGCAAGAAGAAGTCCAGTTAGATACTGGCTGCTAAATGCTGCCAAAGCTGTTCCCTTTCTAGTTTTATTTATTATTATTCGCCACCTATAACTTGGAACAAGCAAAAGTCAACCAAGAGCATTCACCAATAACCTTCGTTCTGTGTCCTTTTGGACAAACACTGGCGGGTACACAGTTCTAAATTGGACAGGGCCACAAGACATCTTGGAACGAATGTGAGATACGGAGAGGGGATTCTGACTCCTGCCAAGATGGCGAACAGCATGAGCTGCTGGCTTCCTTCCCAAAAAGCAACCGTGTGGAAATGAAAGCAGGGAAGGAAGCGGTAAACGCAGAAACTAAACCGTAATAGCAATGGCCACAAAGGGACAGAGTCCCGGGAGGGGTCTGTCTCGACTCTCGACTCTGTGCGGGAGATGGTGGCCACCGCCAAGGTGCAGGGCTGCGAGAGGCCACCATGACAGCGCTCACTGGGAAGAGCTTCCTGAGACCCGCTCCTGCACTTCCGCCCCACCTGCACACCCGTGGCCGACCTAGGGCCACTGTGCAGCTGCAGGAACGTGACCAATGCCAGGGTCTGAGAATTAACGTCAGGATGGCCCAAAAGCCTGGGCGGACATGTTCCCCCCACACACGGACATTGGAGAGGATGGCTCCATAGAAAGGAAGCCATGCAGGACTACCAGACTTCGGGAAGGATAGGAGAGGGTGGGGAGTACAGGAACGCTGATTAACAAAAACAAAATTGCAGAAAGGTAGACAAAACGGGCTCTGGGGCGGTGAGCTACGGTGGGGAGAACATGGTGAACCACTCACTGTACGTCACATTCCAAATGGCTGGGACCACGAGCAAACTACTGGATCCAATCATTACACGTTGTGTTTATGCACGGGAAACTGCATTGTAATCATTGTTGGGACCGGGGGGCACTCCCACGTGGCTGACCATGGTTAGAGTCCTGGACCTGGTAGCTTGCTTTCTCACTTTCTCTGTCTCTCTCCCTCTGGTCAAATTAAATAAATGAATAAATAAAATGAAATAAATAATTCTTAAAATAATAATTGTTGGGACTAGCAGATGGTGTAATGGCTACGTCGCTGGACTCCCATGTAGTCGACCACAGTTCTAGTCCCAGACCCAGTGGCTTAAACTCATGCCAGGTGCACGTGTGTGCGTGCCCAAGATCCCGAGAGGAGAATGGAGGAGAAGGGATTGCGGCGTGGCCATCCCCCATAGGGGGTGATTTCTCGCTTTCTGTCTCTCTGTCTCTCTCTATTTCTGGCAAACACACATGCCCTAGTAAAAGACTCTAAAAAAAAAAATTGTCATGTAAATGAAAAAAAAAATTTTTTTTGGAGAGGTTTTCGCTATAGGGCACGTGCGCTCACCAGACAGAGAGAGAGAGACATAGAGACAGAAAGCGAGAAATCACCCCCTAGGGGGGATGGCCACGCCGCAATCCCTTCTCCTCCATTCTCCTCTCGGGATCTTGGGCACGCACACACGTGCACCTGGCATGAGTTTAAGCCACTGGGTCTGGGACTAGAACTGTGGTCGACTACATGGGAGTCCAGCAACATAGCCATTGTGCTAACTGCTGGTCCCAAAATTATTATTTTTAATTAAAAAAAAAAACACACACACAAAGGAAGGAACCGAAGTCTGTGCAGGGTGAAGAACTGACGAAGGCAAGTGTGTAGCCCGGAACTCAGAGTGAAAACGCGCCTAAATCCCCTCTCAGGTGCGATTAAAGCGAGCGCCCTGTCGAGCACCTGTAAGACGCCAAAGCAAGTCTTCTTGGGAGGAAGTGATCGTCCGGAGCCTTAAAATGTTTCTATACTCAAAACAACACTGGACATTCAGTGAAAAATCACCAAGCATCTGAAAGAGACATCCAGATCAGTAAAAATCCAAGAGGGAACGCAGTTGGAGAAAGGGCCCACAGTAGGCCGAGGTATCGGAGCGCTCAGACATGGACAGACAGCGGCAGGTTAATATGGGCAAGGGAGGGAGAAGACAGAATCTCAGCAGGACCGCTGCAACGCAGGAGTTACGGGAGCCACGGTGGCACAGGGGTAGGCCGGATGTCACTGCACGATGCTAGAGCTTTTAGGGAGGCCGTGGTTTCGAGTCCCAGGTCAACCCAGCCTGCTCGGAGTGTGTGCTGGCACACCTGTGGTCCTGGCTGCTGGGAGGCGGGGGAGGACCATGGCGTAGTGAAACCCTGAAGCACTTCTCTCGCTCTCATTAAAGAAGAACACAGGCTATGGGGCCAGCAGTTGGTGTAATGGCTATGTCACTGGACTCCCACGTAGTCGACTGCGGTTCGAGTCCTGGACCCTTAAACTCACGCCAGGTGCGTGTGCATGCATGCCCAAGATCCCGAGAGGAGAACGGAGAAGAAGAAGGGATTACTGTGATTACTGTGTGGCCATCCCCCCTGGGGTGATTTCTTGCTTTCTGTCTCTGTCTTTCTAATGAACGCACAGGTCCTTCAGCAAAAACCTCTCAAAAAACAACAAAATATTCAATAGATAGTTTACCAAAAACTTAGATATAGCCATAAAAAGGATTAGCCGGTAGAAAAGATCAATTATAATAGGAAATATCCAGACTGAAACTTAGACAAAAGGATTTTAAAAAATATGAAAGAGGGGAGCAGCAGTTGGCATAATGGTTATGTCGTTGGACTTCCATGTAGTCGACTGTGGTTTGAGTCCTGGGCACAGTGACTTAAACTCATGCTGGGTGCATGTGCGTGAGTGCCCAAGATCTTGAGAGGAGAATGGAGGAGAAGGGACTGCGGTGTGGCCATCCCTCTGGGGGTGATTTCTTGCTTTCTGTCTCTGTCTCTCTCTCTGTCTCAAGCACACACACCCTATAGCAAAAACCTCCCCTAAAAAGAAAATAATAAATATGGAAGAGAATAATAGTCTAATGAGACAAGATGGAAAAGGTCTAATTTATGTCTAATTGGAGTCTCAGAAGAAGAGGAAAGAAAGAATGTGACAGAAGGACTGTTTAAAAAGACAATGGATGAGGGAACCAGTAGTTAGCGTAATGGCTATGTCGCTGGACTCCCACGTAGTCGACCGCGGTTCGTGTCCCGGACCCAGTGGCTTAAAACTCACTCCAGGCGTGTGTGCGTGCGTGCCCAAGATCCCGAGAGGAGAATGGAGGAGAAGGGATTGCAGCGTGACCATTCCCCCTGGGGGGGTGATTTCTCGCTTTCTGTCTCTCTGTCTCTCTCTGTCTGTCTGGCGAGCGCACGCGCCCTATAGCAAAAAAACCTCTCAAAAAAAAAAAAAAAAGACAATGGATGAGAATTATCCAAAATCAAAGAAAGAAGATCCCAGATGCAAGAAACCCCAGTGGATAAGATGGATGGATGGATGGATGGATGGTAGAAAGATAGATGAGAGATAAGGGATGATAGATAGATGATAAATGATAGATAGATATAACATATCTAGCTTCCCACTGGCAGCCCACCACACGTGCCACCATGGCTGGGCCTCTCTGCTCTCACTCTAGCCTCACCCTAACACCCTCCCACGGCAGTCAGAGTGAGGTTTTAAAAGACAGTGAGACGGGCCGGCAGGCGGCAAGGTGGTTAAGGTGCTGGATTCCCACGTGGCTGACCACGGTGGCTTGAAAAGTCACACGGGCACTTGTGCATGCATGCCCAAGATCGCAGCAGGAAAATGGAGAAGGGATTGCAGCGTGGCCACCCCCTTGGGGTGATTTCTCACTTTCCCTTTCATTATCTCTGGCTGTTTCTGACATGTGCCCTACAGCAAAAACCTAAATTAAAAACAAACAAACAAACAAACAAATACATCCTATCACTCCCTTAAAATCCTTCAATGACTTCTCACTATCCTCGGAATAAAATCAGAACTCCGTATTATGGCCCCCAGGGTATGACCTGATTCCTCTCTCCGTCCCCCAGCAGCCACCCTCTGGATTATGGCTGCACGTTCGTCTGTGTCCCCTTGAATCTGGTCGGGAATGTGGCTCTTCCTGCAGCAGGCCTTGGTTTTCTCATTCCATTTCATGATGTCGCTGCCATTCCTTTTATCGCTGAGCAGTGCTGCCTGCTGTTGACGGGACTCGGGGAGTATCCCGGTCGTGCTGTTGCAAACAAGGCTGGCGGCCCAGCACAGGGACTTGTGCTGTGCTGTGGGCCACCCCCAGCTCATGCTCAACTCACCTGGACGCCATACTCTGTGGGGAGTTCGAGCGTGCACGCTGGCGTTTCTGCTGCTAGCGTCCACTTCCAGATGCACACCTTCTGCAGGTGACAGCAGGGACAGGTGTGAGAAGGGCTCCGAAGGCTGCAGGTACAACCTCAGCCTTCGTGGTGGCCTGCAGCTTCGAGCAAGTAAGCACAGCACCCCCCGCTAGCCACAAGGAGAGGTCCTGACTGCCGGGGTCCGGTTACTTGAGCACGTCACGGGAGCTGCATGGCCAAGCAGAGCTGCCCCGAGGGGGTGCTCTTGTCGGGCGGCCAGCTTGCCGATGCTCACCCCAAGGCCCTTTACCTGGACTTCGGCATCTGAGATGGTGGCCAGGAACTTGGCATCGCGGGTGATGGCAATTGCCCCAATGCCGTTTCCCTCCGGGCAGCTGTCGAAGATCGTGTGCACAGGGATCCTGCAATAGGTGGGGACAGCGCTTGCTTGGGTCTTCCCGGCATCCCAGAGGGGACTGGGGCAGCAAACGAGTTTCTAGACACCGCACCACTCAGCCTGTGCTCAGCCACCGTGGCAGGCACCGTCCACACTGGGGAAGAAGCCGCCGTGCAAGGCCTACCCTGTGAAGGAGTCCCAGATGATTATCAGGCAGTCCGGCCCTTTGTCCGCGGTGGCGATCCACCGCCTGTCTTCACTGAGGCAGAGGCAGGAGATGACGTTCGGGTGGCCCTGGGAAACAGAGAAGGCGTTCGACACCTCCCAGACGCGGCCCACGCTTGGGTGCCATCAGGGAGGGCCAGGGCCCCACTGGTTTCTCTCCAGCTCATCTGGCAGAAAACCGTACTCCCCCAGCTTTCCTGGGGCGTCCCCATCCACGGGTGGGTAGATGTCAGACACCCTCACCCTCGGGACACGGAAAGATTAGTTGCACTCCTGCAGGAACGGAGGTCCCCAAGGATCGAGGATCGAGGTGCGTGCTGACACCCGGGCTGGCAGTACACATCTGGGCCCTGCCCCGGTCCCAGCCGCCTCGAACCTCCCCGCCGGGCTCACTCCCCAGGCTGCTGCCCACTCCAGGTCACTGAGCAGCCTGGGGCTGGGGCCGACGCCTCCTCACCACTCTACTTCCACTCTTAACTCCCACCATCCTATCCCACACACGGACGAACCTTCTGGAAACCCAAACGGGATGGCAGCACGCCCTGACCGGAGCGGACTCCGTTCCCTCCTTCCCCACACTCCTCCTGCCTCCCTGTGAACCTCCACGCTGGCCTTCCCTCCGGGCCTTCTGTCTGGAATGTTCTTCCCTGACTGTCCGGGGGCCGTGCTCACCCTTCAGGTCCCAGCGCTCAGCACTCTTTAAACCCCCGCCCTCCGGTCTGCAGTAAGTCTTGTCTCACTCTGATCTTCTCCGAACATTTCCGAGTTCCCGGGGAGCACCGGCTACGATGATCCCGTGGCCACGCGTGCCCCCAGGACAGGGACGGGGTGCTTTGTTGGCGACTACCGACCCACGGTCAGAGACATGGCGGCTACGAGAGCCGTGTGGGATGAAGGACGGACAGACTGGCCAAGGCTGTTCCCGGCCACCTGATCCTGGCGAGGCCGGACCCCACAGCTCAGCTCACCCGGGCCCCGCTTCTCGCCCACTGTCCCTGCCGGCCTGGGGCAAGCTCTGCGTCCTCCGCGCCATCGCCGCGCCCCGCAGGAGCTGCCTGCCGACTGGTCCGTGTGTTTCTGGACCTGGAAAGTGAACGAGTCACGCCCAGGTTCTCGGACCTCTGCCCACGCTGACTGCTGACTGCTGACTGGGCTCCTGCTGGTGACGGTTCTGACCTAGGCGTCGACTCAGGAAGGCCCTAGAAAGACGCAGGTGGCCGGGAAGGGGAACCTGAAACCCCGTGCGGGAGAGCGGGGTGAGTCTGGGACAAGAGGCAGGACACTGGACCGGAGAGAGGTGACAGGAAGGGAGGAGGTGGGTGGGATAAAAGGAGCCCGAGGAGGGGAGGGAGGACAAGCGAGCACTTCACACCTTCAGGGCGGAGGTTGCCTTAGTCTGGGGCAACTCACTTAGGTCACTCTGCTTCTGCAACACGGGGCCGCCTCTCGGCCAGCCGGCCTGTGGGGCTGAAGCCTTTGGAAACTGGGAAGGAGCCTAAGTGAGCGCTGGGTCTCGAACTCTGCTCCCCTGCTTCCCTGTGTATGTGACCAAAGCTCTGTGGGGCCTGGGCTGCAGTGTCCACATTTTTGCAGAAATGTACCCAAAAATATATATATACACATATATGTGTGTGTGTGTGTTAAATACTTATAACTATAAAACCAACATTAAATACTATTTCTAAACCAATTCTGATTAGACTCGAGAGTCAATGGATGAAAATGTGGTTTTTGGGAACCAGCAGTTAGCGCAATGGCTATGTCGCTGGACTCCCACGTAGTCAACCGCGGTTCGTGTCCTGGACCCGGTGGCTTAAAACTCATGCCGGGCGTGTGTGCGTGCGTGCCCAAGATCCCGAGAGGAGAATGGAGAAGAAGGGATTGCGGCGTGACCATCCCCCCTGGGAGGTGATTTCTCGCTTTCTGTCTCTATGTCTCTCTCTGTCTGTCTGGCGAGGGCACGCGCCCTACAGTGAAAATCTCTCCCAAAAAAAAAAAAAAAAAAAAGTGGTTTTTTTCCTTTTAATTTTTAAGGAATTATTTATTTATTTATTTTGTATTATTTTTAATTCAAGAGAGTGAGAAAGCAAGCCGCCAGATCCGGGACGTGAACCACGGTCGCCCATGTGGGAGTCCAGGGCCTTAACCACATCCCCACCTGCTGCCCCGGAAACGTGTTTCTAAAGGCAGGACTTCCTGCATGTTCGAAGGAGGGGTAGGAAGGGCTGACAGCGACACGACCAAGTCAGCCTGAGATACAAACACGACGCCGTGGGGCTTGCGGGAAGGGCAGGCCGCGTACCTGGAGGTGGTGCTGAGTGTTCTGGAAAACGTTGTAGATGACAGCGGTGTGAGCGCACACGTACAGGAGGACTCTCTGGTTCTCATCGCGAATGTAGAACACGGGAAGAGTGCTGTTCCACCCAAACGACCAGGTCATGGTCTGGAAGACAGAGGGAAGACCAGTGACACGCCGCGTGCTAGGCGGGGCTGTGGCTCCAGGCACGCCCAGCACGAGCCCCAGGAGGAGGAGGACCTCACAGCAAGGTCCAGGAAGGCGAAATCACTTTAGGAAAGTCGCACCAGAGCCGGCCCTGAGGCCTAGCGGTTAGGGGAGCTGAATCCCACATGGCCAATTGCAGCTCAAATTCTGGCCCTGGCAGCTTGACAACCGTGACAGGCGTGTGCGTGTGCCCAGAATCCTGACGGGACCCGCCCAGCTCTAGCCTGCCCCCGTCATGGGCCTATGAGTGCCCAGCACTGAGAGGTCCCCAGACGCAACCGGGAACCTTCCCACACAGGGCGGCCACACAGCGCATGGCATCGAACAGCTGCAGCACCCCAGCCCTCTGGCTCGATTTTCCTATAAGCCTACAGCTCTCCCAAACATAAAGTCTACTTAAAACCTTAACCGGGGTCAATGAATCGAATGCAGTCGAGGGACGAACGTGATGGTTAAGTGATGAGCTGCTAAAAATTAGATTATATTGGAGGACGGAGACAAAACCTGGCACATTTCCTCTCCTACCGCGGAACAGTACTTACAAAGTTAAACTGGAGGGCCAGCAAATGGTGTGGTGGTTGAGACGCTGGACTCCCACATGGCCGATGGCGGTTCGAGTCCTGGATCTGGTGGCTTGCAAATCACGCTGGGCGTGTGTGCATATGCGCCCAGGATCTTGAGGGGAGAATGGAGGAGAAGGGATTGTGGTGTGGCCATCACCCCATCCAGGGGGTGGTTGCTACCTTTCCTCTCTCTGCTTCTCTCTCTCTCTACAGCGAGCGCATGCGCCATATGGCAAAAATCTAAAAATAAAGAAGTTAAATTGATATATCATATATTTCTTCCCTAGACAGCTACAGAAGGTAACGTGGCCAATCTCTCCCTCCCACACTCTTCGTTTCCTATACTCTCCTGTCTCCATCTGCTCATTCCCTATCACTGATATTTATATTTGTACTTCTTATTGTGTGGGTGTGAGTGGTAGAATCATAGAATCATAATTTGTCTCAAGCTGCAACTTCGAGGAACATCATTATTTAATATCCGGCTGGTTCCTAAAGCCAATTTAGCCCAATGAAATTGCTCTTTTGGAAATTAGCTAATCCTGAAAGGACCATCTTGCTCACCCTCAAAACTGGTTTTGCTATTTAGACAATTTGTTGTACAAAAAGAAATTCCTAAACAGACTCCCGTCTCCACCACGAGGCAACTCTTCCGAGGTTAAAACCAAGCTCTCTGAGGCCAGCAGGTGGCGTGGTGACGAAGGCGGCTGTCTCCCACAAGGCCAGTTGTGCCATTCAAGTCCCACACTGGGCAGGTTGAAAAACATGCTGGGGGACCAGCAGGTAGCATAGTGGTTACGTCGCTGGACTCCCACTTAGTAGACCATGGATCGAATCCAGGACCTGGCGGCTTAAAATCTCACGCGTGTGTGTGCGCGTGTGCGTGCTCAAAATCCCGAGAGGAGACTGGAGGAGAAGAGAATGTGTGTGGCCACCCCCAGGGGCTGATTTCCCACTCTCTGTCTCTCTGTCTCTGTCTCTCAGGCAAACGCACCTGCCCTATAGCAAAAACCTCTCTTAAAAAAAAAAAAAAAAAAACACAAGGCTGGGCATTGTGGCGATCCGCCCTTTAAAACACAATGCTGGGCATATGTGCATGCCTGCCCAAAATCCCAAGAGGAGAATGGAGGAGGAGAAGGGACTGCGGCTGGCCATCCCCCCGGGGGTGAGTTCTCACTTTCTATCTCTGTCTCACTGTCTCCAGTGAGTGCACCACCCTATAGCAACATCTCTCTTTAAAAAAAAAAAAAAAAATGCTAAAAGAAATGGCGAAGGGAGACGACCCAGGAGAGTTTGTTTCTGCAGTGAGACCAGGAGTAACAGGAAACCCCAAACGAGGCAGCGGCTCTCGCCCAGTCCAGAGGTGGGGTCTGTGACACAAAGACTGCTCATTCTCGCTAGGGATGGTCCCCGATTTCTTCCCCCCCTTTACTCAGGACAGAGCATGTCTGCACGTGACCAGGAGAGACAAGGACCCCCCTCCCCCGGGCCCGGTCACACCGCCATGCCCCTCTCCAGCCCAGTGGCTCCTGGGCACTCGCGCAAGTGCCTGGCTGTGACCGGCACGTGGGGTTGGCGTCTCTGAGCAGTGCCTTGCCATGGTGTGGGCCCTAACTCGGCCGCTCTGTCGGACTGAATACGCAGGCTGGGGAGAGACCTAACCCCACCGCTCACACCACGCCTAGCTGGGAAGGAGGTGAGCGGCAGTCCGCACTGCCACCAGGCGCCTTCCCAGCACGGCCCGCGCCCACGCCCCGCGCCCACGCCGGGCTGCCGCCCCCCAGCGTGCCCTCCGTTGTAGGAACCACGTTAAGCGCTTCGTCACAAGGATGAGTTACAGAAAAAAGGATAAGAAAAGGGAAAAAGGATGGATCCTGGGAAACAGTTTTCAGAAAGCAGCAGAGGGAGGAGAAAGGAAAAGGAACCCTCCTCTTCTCGCGGGAAATGGTAGTATGTCCGCGGCTGCAGGTGGCGGCTCCCTGGGCGACCTGCAACAGCAGACGCGGAGTCCTTCGGGCTGCCGGAGCTTTTTAAGTCATTAATTTATTTTAGGTCTTTGCTATATGAAGTATGAAAAGAGAGAAACAGAGGGAAAGTGAGAAGTAACCACCCATGGGGGGGGGGGTGGCCATGCCGCAATCCCTTCTCCTCCATTCTCCTCTCGGGATCTTGGGCACGCACGCACACGTGCCCGGCGTGAGTTTGAGCCACCGGGTCTGGGGCTCGAACTGCAGTCGACTCCGTGGTAGTCCAGCAACATGGTCATGACGCTAACTGCTGGTCCCAGAACCCCCTCTTTCACAGTGTCCTCCCAGGACCCCGAGCCGAGGCCTGGGCTCCACTCACCAGAGGGTACACACTGGTGCTGACGTCCTTCTGGAACAAGACGTCTCCGGTGCTGCTGGACACCAACGACTCGCCCGAGGCCTCTGCCCTGGCGTGGGGCGCTCTCCCCCCGTCATCGAGGAAGCAGGAAACCCTCTCTCCACTTTCTGGTCCTCGCCCCGCCTCGCCAGCACTGTGGGACAGCTGGCGGGTCCCCAGGAGCCCTCCGGAGGACGGCCTTTGGGAGGAGCTGCCCTGGTTGTCCTCGCTGCCGCTGCCGCGGTCCGAGTCCAGGTCCTGTCGGGAGCTCAGGCTTCCCGAGAGCTCGGTTCCTCGGGATCCCTCTGACTGCAGCGACTGCTGTGACGCGCTGCCCCTCCGGAGAGGCTTAATGAGAAACGGGAATAAGAGGCATCTGTGATCCGGACCCAGGTGTTCCTCCCGCCCGCAGCCAGGTGTAGGCCGACACCGAGAGACGTTTAGAACAGCGCCGGCCGCTCGTCCTCACGAGCTGCATCGGGTGGCAGGGGTTTACCCTCCGCCAACAGCAGCCCCCGCAGCATAGCCGTTCTCCTGTTCTCCCCAGTGGCCCTGGTGGCCTCCAGAAGGCCGCTGAGTCACAGGTCCTGACCCTTGGTGCACAGCGGAGCGCTCCTGCAGGGGACGGTCTAAGGGAAGCTGATGGGACTGTGATGGTGCTAGCCTGAGGCCTTGCTGGCCCTTCCAAAGCCAGCTGGGGGGCCAGGAGGCAGCTTAGGGGTTAGGGCACTGGACTCCTGCATGGGTGACCACAGTTGGCATCCCAGGCCTGGTGGCTTGAAAATCATGCCAGGCGCATGTGCACGTGTGCCCAAAATCCCCAGGAGGAGAATGGAGGAGCAGGGGCTGCAACTGGCCATCCTCCCTGGGGTGTGATTTCTCACTTTCCCCGTCACTCTGCAGGGGGCACACACCCTATGGCAAGAACCAAAAAAAAAATGGACGGTATCTTGCTTGGTTTTGCACCCTGCAGCCTGGCGTGGACTGAGCACCCGACCAGTACTCCCGCCTGCCTGGAAGAGGAATAGAGACCACTTACAGGGAAGGCTCCTGGTGTGGCCGACTGGGAAGCACGGACGGGTTCCTCCAGACCGATGGACCGGGTGGTTTCATGGGGCTCTGCTGGGGTTTCTCTCCGCACTCCCGCAGCCCCTGCCTCCATCTCTTCCAGGACTGTCTCTTCCTCCTCCTCCCCTCTCTCCCCTTCCTCCTCCTCCCCTCCCTTCCCTTCCTCTCCCCTCCCTTCCCTTCCTCCTCCTCCCCTCTCTCCCCTTCCTCCTCCTCTCTTCTCTCCCCTTCCTCCTCCTCCCCTCTCTCCCCTTCCTCCTCCCTCACCTCTTCCTTTCCCCCCTCCTTCTTTTCCCCCTCCTCCCTCTCCTCCTCCTTCTGCCCCTCTCCTTCCTCCCTCTCTCCCCCTTCTTTTTTCTCCCCCTCTTCCTCATCCTTCTCCTGGTCTTCCTCCTCTCCTTTCTCTTCCTCCTTCTCTCCCTCCTCCTCCTTTGCTCCTTTTTCTTCCTCCACTTCTCCGTCCTCCTCTCTCTTTTCCCCCTGACCCCCCTGATCGCTGCCTGCTAACGTGTCACCCTCTGGTTTCTGCTGCGCATTTTCCACTTCTTTATAATCTGGAGTGTATTCTTCTTCCTCTTCCTCCCCTTCTTCAGCCATTTCCCTTTCTCCATTTTCTTCTCTTTTTCCCAGAGAGTCCTCTTCTGCATCTGCCATTCTTCTCTGTACAGTTTCCTCTGGAGAAATTGTAAACGTCACCATCAGCAGGGCCTCCGTTTCCCCTTCTGGCTTCCAGGTGCACTAACCTAGTGATGCATGTGCAACACCAGCCCTCCTCCCCAAGGGAACGAAATAACTGGCATAGTCTTCTGTTTTGGAGAGGTTTTTGCTATAGGGCGCGTGTGCTCGCCAGAAGGACAGAGAGAGACAGATAGAAAGCGAGAAATCACCCCCCAGGGGGGATGGCCACGCCGCAATCCCTTCTCCTCCATTCTCCTCTCGGGATCTTGGGCACGCATGCACACGCACCCAGCATGAGTTTAAGCCACTGGGTCCAGGATTCAAACCACAGTTGACTACATGGGAGTTCGGTGACAGAGCCATTATGCCAACTGCTGGTCCCGAAATAATTGGCATATCTTGGGAAAGACTGCCACAATCTTAAAAATGTGGATCCCTGGGACTGGCAGGTGGCGTGGTGGTTAAGAGCGCTGGATTCCTACTTGGCCGACCGTGGTTCAAGTCCCGGACCTGGAGGCTTGCTTTCTCGCTTTCTCTTTCTCTCTCTATCTCTCTCTGGTCAAAACTTTAAAATGATAGTAACAACAAATGGAATTTAAAAAATAAATAATTTAAAAAAATGTGAATCCCTTGGGGCCAGCAGATGACATAATGGTTATGTCGCTGGACTCCCATGTAGTCGAACCCAGTTCAAGTACCAGACACAGCAGCTTCAAACTCATGCTGAGTACATGTGCATACGTGCCCAAGATCCCGAGAGGAGAATGGAGGAGAAAGGACTGCAGTGTGGCCATCCCCCCGGGGGTGATTTCTCGCTTTCTGTCTCTCTGTCTCTCCAGTGAGCACACATGCCTATAGCAAAAATCTTTCTTAAAAATAAAGTGTGTGTGTGTGTGTGTGTGTATATATGTGTGTGTGTACACACGCATGCCCAGCACGACCCTTAGTACAGTGGTTAGCACGCAGGTGCAGCATCCCAGATGGTCGACCGAGGTTCAAATCTCTGTCTCCCCATCTCTCCCTAGTGAACATCCATGTCCTCTGCCAAAGAAAGAGAAAGAGAGAGAGAGAGAGAGAGGAAGGGAGGGAGGGAGGGAGGAAGGAGGAGGGAGGGAGGAAGGAAGGAAGGAAAAAGATGGGACCAGCACATGGCGTAACAGTTACATTGCTGGACTCCCACACGGTGGACCACGGTTCAAGTCTCGGACCCAGTGGCTTGAAATTCATGCCAGGGGAGTGTGCGTGCCTGCCCAAGATCCTAGGAGAATGGAGGAGAAGGGACTGCGGAGAAGAGATCAGCCATCTCCCCAGAGGGTGATTTCTCACTTTCCCTCTCACTGTCTCTCTCTCTCTTCCTCTGGTGAGCACATGTGCCCTAAGGCAAAAACCTCTACAAAGAAAAGGAGAGGAGAGGAGAGGAGAGGAGAGGAGAACGGAAAATATTGATCCCAGGGTCTCTCCTCTTTCTAGGAATAACCTTAGAGATTTCTTTCTTTCTTTCTTTCTTTCTTTTTTATTTTAATTTGCTATAGGATACATGTACTCATTAAAGACAGACAGAGAGAGAGAGTGAGAAAACAAGCCACCAGGTCTGGGACTCAAACCATGGTTGGCCATGTGGGGGTCTGGCACCTGAAGCACCATGCCACCTGCTGGACCCAAACCTGAGAAGTTTCTTCTAACTCATTTTAATTATATTTATATTTCACAGACAGCAAAAGGCATAACCCAGGCATCGGCAACCATTTTTAAATCATTATTTAATTTTACTTATTAGTATCATTATTATTCAATTTCACCAGAGAGAGGGAGAGAGAAAGCGAGCCACCAGGTCCAGGACTTGAACCGCAGTCAGCTGTGTGGGAGTCCAGCATATTAACCACCATGCCAATTGCCAACCCCAGCGACAATTTTTAAAAATTTGCTAGGGGGTGTTTTTACTCACCAGAGAGAGAGAGAGAGAGAGAGCGGGAAAGTGAGAGGGCACTCCCAGGGGTAATGGCCACGCCACAGTCTCTTCTCCAGTCTCCTCTGAGGATTGTGGGCACATACGTACATGCACCCGGCAAGTTTTATAAGCTTACAGGTCAGGGAATCGAACCATGCAGTCAGCCCTGTGGGACCAGCTGCCTTACCCACCACACCTCCGGCTGGCCCACACTAGCAGCCATTCTAACAAGGGCACAGAGAAGCAGCAGTGTGGCTTTGTCGTTACAGCCGTGGGCTTTGCCACCAGCCGGTCCGAGCGTCAGCGAGTCCCATTTCCACCACTCGCTAGCTCTGTGACCTCGGGTCAGTCACTTCAGCCCTCTGGGTCTAAATCTGATCACAGGCAAAATAAAAGTCACCCTAAATGCTGGGATCGTTGTGAAGATAACTTAAAATGCCCAACGCAGTTGCAGCACGTCGTGGCTGAACACGGTAGCAGCTGTGATGATGGGGGTGGAGAGGGGCGACCCGTCTCCGGATGAACGTTTCAAAGCCCTGCCTGCCGACCCACGGGCTGCGGGGCTCTGGGAGGTGGATCGGAGCCGGCTGTGCTCGCCAGGGCTCCTCGCTCGTGCTGCGAGCGCCCCCGCCTGCACGGCCACTGCTCTCACAGAACCTCACGTCCAGGCCTCTCGCCCAGCAGCCTCCTCCACCGACCCAAGCTGGAGGGGCGTCCGCAGGTTCGGCGCGCCGGCGGGCCCCCCGGGCTCAGGGGCAGGTGGCAGCTGTGTGGTCTGTGGACCTAAAGGCCAGCTCGGGTCTCCCTAGGGCCACCCCAAGCTCGGCCGGCCCCGGGTGGAGTGAGCGCCCCCTAGGAAGCCGCGGCGCCCGCCAGACCGGCCCGGTATTCTGGCCCCGGACTTACAGAGCCCTCCCGCCTACCCAAGCCGCCAGGACCCTCACCCCCCTTCCAGACCTCCAGCCGACGCCAGCTTCTCCTCCTCGCGCTCCCTGGTTACGGTTGCCACCCAAGCTCCATCCCTATGGCAACCGCCGCCGCCGGTGCAGCCGGAAAGCGAGGGCCGGCCGGTGGTCACGTGCTCGGAGCGCGGCCCCGCGGGGCTGGCACGCCCCCTGCCGGCGGCAGAGGGAGCCCCGTCCTCGCGTTCCGGTCCGCTCGCACTCTCGCCCTCTTTGGCCCTGATGCCACCCCCGAGACGCTGCAGCGGCCACTCCTGGCCATTCTGACCTTCCAAAATCGGCACGGTTAAATGTAGAAGTGTGAACCGTTTGGTCACAGTCTCTAGGCCAAAAGCGAACGGAACCTCCAGGGTCGGCAGGGGCCGCACACACCTGCCCTGTGAGCCTGCGGGATTCAGGTGCAGGATCTGGGCAGCCACACCAAAACGTGTACGTAGGTTACGTGGCCGTGCTGTTCCCGTCGCCATGCGCTTCGGAAAAACACGGTGGACAAAACCTGTCGGGGTCATTCCACGGCAAAGTGACCTTCCACCAGAATCTCAAAAAATATGCAACAGGTGGCCATCCTGAAGTCACCGAAGGGAGACCTGCGGGAAGCCAGCCAAAGGTGGGAGACTCGGCGCTGCTATCCTGGTGGGAGAGTGAACACTCTTCTCTGCCTGGTGCTGGTCAGCTTAGTGCACAAGCCCACCCCACCCCGAATAAAGACGGATAAACGGGATGGTGCAAGCTGTTTATTACAGTCAGGGACACAGAAAAAGAGCCTGGGAAGCAATTAGGACACAGAACTGACACCACAAACATCGGTAAACAGCATGTCCGTGGCATCCAGATGTGAATCCGCGTGGCTACGGGGCTGGCCCAAACACTGGAAGGCTTCTGGGTTGGACAGGAGAACCTGCAGGACATACCTGCCAACTCTGACTCCCCTACCTGGGCAAGCCCGTACCTGCATCTAATCCAAGCAAATCCCACCCCAGACACAGCTCCTGGGCAAAGCATGCCAGCCCTCCTCAGAGAGGGGTCTGTAGAACTGGGGAGATACATTCTGCCCCGCCAGGAAGAGAGGAGTTGCACACACAGCACCACTAGGAGTCGCTCAAACCCACTTTGCCATCTTGACAGAAAAAAATGGTGGACCAGCAGGTGGTGTGGTGGTTAAGGTGCTAGACACTCCCATATGGCCAACCACAGTTCGAGTCCCAAACCTAGTGGCTTGCTTTCTCACTTTCCCTCTCTCTTTCTCTGTGTATATGTGTCTCTCTCTGGTCAAATTAAAAATAAATGAATGAATAAATAAAATTTTAAAAAGAAAAGAAAAAATCAAAGGGAGGAAGACGAAACAGCATATTCAGGAGGGCAAACACTATCATTCCCATCAGCATGCCACGCACACCTCAGCAGTTTGAAAACAGCGCCGATTGGAAACCAGCAGTTAGCGTAATGGCTATGTCGCTGGACTCCCACGTAGTCGACCGCGGTTCGTGTCCCGGACCCGGTGGCTTAAAACTCACGCCGGGCACGTGTGCGTGCGTGCCCAAGATCCCAAGAGGAGAATGGAAGAGAAAGGATTGCAGCATGACCATCCCCCCTGGGGGGTGATTTCTCGCTTTCTGTCTCTATGTCTCTGTCTGTCTGGCGAGCGCACGCACCCTACAGTGAAAATCTCTCCAAAAAAAAAAAAACAACAGCGCTGATCTCGGTGCACGGCCAGGAGGCTCAACTGTCAAAGTCAAAGTAGAAGCTAATTTGCAGGTTTCCCTCCCACGAGCTAAGGGAGCTGGCTGCCTGCAGGTGGGTTACCAGAGAGGGCGACACTAGGCTGGCCAGCGGGGAGGCTGGTTCTCCCGTCTCCCAAGGGATGTGCCCTCTGGGCCCAGGCACTGAGGACGCACAGATCTGCCAGTACTGGGCAAGTTCCTGCCCACAGCAGCAATGCCTCGGCGCCAAGAATGCTGCTGACCAGGTTTTGACTTCACGCAATCTGGCTCTGCCCAGTCCTCTGTGAGGATGTTCCGGCCTGTGTCTAAGCTTTGGTGTGAGAGGCTCATAAGAAATTCAGCTGGGGTGACAACACGGCCATGTCGGCAATGTAAAAATGTGTTTATTTGGGGAAAAATATTTCCTGGAAGAATAAAGTCCCGTCAGCGCCCGTCAGGATAACTCCCACAGTCTGAGAGTCTCCACGCAGGGCCACGGCGCAGCTCACAAAGACGCCAAGCTCATGTCGGGCTCTCAGCAATGCCCTCGCCTGGGGGTTACGCAGGAGCCCACGGTGACGCCACCAGCTGCGAGTCCAGGTTTCCGGCCTCTTCCAGATCCGTGTGCTTCAGGGATTAAGGAAAAACAAGCAAACCCCACTAGATCTGAGTCCAGGCCAGGGAAGACGCCGTCCTGTGGCTCTTCCCCAGGAACGATCATCTCTGCAGAGGGATAATGTTGCAGCTGAAAGAGAAAGGGAACGGCAAGGCCCAAGTCAGCTCCGTCCAGGACAGCCAGGAGCGGGCCGCTGTGCCTCCCGCCTGCGTGCCTGTGCCTTCATTCTTACCAAGCGAATGCCCAGTTAGTGAAAGAGCCCCTGGCTCAGGAGAGAGCCAGGGCTCCCTCCCCTCCACACCTGCAGTTCCCTCCTACCCTGGCATCACCCGTCCTGCACCTGCTGGGCATTCCCACCACTGCCCCCGACCCCCAGCTCGCCTGCCCCAGTTCAGTGTGTGAATGGACCCAGCGGGTACCTTACCCCAGCAGGCCTTTCCCCGCCCAGCGTGTTGGAACGAGTCTAAGCTGGTGTCTCTCCCCTCTACGCATCACGGTCACGTTCAGGGGCTTCTGAAAAGAAAACACGCTCATTTCACTCATAGAAGCAAAGACATGCAGGCTGAGATGCTGCTCTCACTTTTCTATGCCACGGCAGAGACAGAGAGGCAGCCTCCACAGGGGCTCCCACATCGTAGTTCCTTCCCCTGGCCTCTGCCCAGCCAGGACTCAGAGTACATGCACACCGGCTCGGTCTCCAGCCCTGCGGGACTGTGCGCTAATGCCTATGCCCCGTGGCTGGGCCAGAGATGCCAATTTTCACCCGTTGGATTGGCAAGGAGTTTTGTCTTTTTTTTTTTTTTTAAATAAGTATTTATTATTTTTTAATTTGCTATTGGGCACACACGCTCACCAGAGAGAGAGGAAAAATGAGAAAGTAAGCCACCAGGTCCGGGACTTGAACCACGGTCTGTCATGTAAGAGTCCAGCACCTTAACCACCCTGCCACCTGCTGGCCCCAAAGAGTTTTGTCTTAAGCATCATCCTGCAGTTGGCCAGCATGGGGTGGTCCTACAGCTAGTGGTCTCGAAGTTCGGGGTCACCTTCCTGAAGAAACCACTTGTCCCCCCCAAAATCTTTAAAAGGTCCATACAAGATACATTTTACAGGACAGTCCCATGGCCTAGTGGTTTAGGGAGCTAGATCCCACATGGCCAGCCAAGGTTCAAATCCCAGCCTGGCTTAAAAAGCGCCTGAGCATGTGTACGTGCATGCCCCAAATCCTGACAGGACGGAGTAACGAAAGAGAAGGGACCGCACTCCACGGGGCTGATCCCGGTCTTGTTCTCTCTGGTGAGCAAACACATGCCCTCTGGCACTCAAAAACATCTATTTTACAAAAGAACAATGATACATGAACAGGTGTTCATTCTGGAATTGTTTATAAATTCAAAATCCAAATATTGTTCTCTGGCAATTAAGGAAAAAAAAAAAAAAAAAAACAGTGCCAGCCCAAGACCTGGAGGCTTAGAGAACCGGACCCCACATGGCAACTACCTGGTTCGAGCCCTGGACCTGGCGGCGTGAAAAGCATGCCAAGCCCTCATGCTCCCGTCCCCAAACCCCAACGGGACGCGGAAGTGGAGAGGAGGGACTGGTGTGACCACACCCCAGGGAGGGTGCTTTCTCCCGCTCTCCCCCGCTCGTCTTTTTGGCTAGCGTATGCACCCCCTGGCAAACATTTTTTAAAAGAAAAGAAAGTTATCTAAAGAAGGAGAAAGCTGGGCGTGGTGGGTGCACCTGGAATCCCAACTACTCGGGAGGCTGAGGAAGGAGGACCATGGGTTCAAAGCTAGCCTGGGCACTACAACAAGACCTTATTTCAAAAAGAGAGAGAGAGAGAACAGAGATTTGGGGGCCAGCAGGTAGCACGGTGGTTAAGGCACTGGACTTCCACATGGTCGACCACAGTTCAAGTCCCAGACCTGGCGGCTTGCTTTCTCACTTTCTCCCGCTCTCTGGTGAGTGTGCATACCCTATGGCAAATTTAAAAATAATAATAATTATGATGATTATAAATAAAATTAAATAACTCTTAAAATAATGTATCTACACAAGTATTCATCTCCAGGTGTCCACAAAACTGGAAACTACCTAAATATCTAACAACACAATGCTATCTTTGGGGTTTTTAAAAAAATTCAGAGGACAAGCAATGAAAAGCCAGATCCTTGGTTCTCAAGCTGGGATCTGGTTCCATGAGGATCCCGGCCCACGAGGGGATGAGGCTGAGGCCAGGCAGTCTCTGGCTCGTAACGCAGCCGACGCCTCAGGCCCACCCACGGTAGCTCAGCCTCTGTCTGTGATAATGGACTTCCCGTGAAACTTCGTCCGAAGAACACGTTCTGTTCGCTTATGAATGCCGAATGACTACTTTTGTAAAGGACTTACAGGTCTACAAAGAAGCAAAGAATGCTTAGAAAAGGCAGATTAAAAACCCGTAGCTAGGGCAGCCAGGTGGCACGGTGGTTAAGGCAGTGGATCCACATGACGGACTGCAGTTTGAGTCCCACACCTGCTTCAACGACAGGCTGGGCTTGTGTGTGCACGCGCCCAAAATCCCGAGATGAGAACAGAGGAGAAAGGGTTTCAGCATGATCATCCGCTCTGTGGGGTTCTTTCCCACTTTCTCTCTCTCCCTCTCTCCAGCAAACACATATACCCTCTGGTAAATTTTAAAAAGAAAAAGAAACCCTAACCCTCAATATGTTGGCATTAGGAGGCGGGCCCTCTGGAAAGTGACCAGGTGGTGAGGGAGGCTCCTCCATGAGCGTGGTTAGTGCCCTTCTACGAGGCCCCAGAGTACTCCCTCTCCTTCCACCAGGTGAGGACATGGCCAGAAGGCGCCACCCGAGAGCCAGGAGTGGGTCCTCCCCGGACACCAAACCGCGGCGCCCTGACCTCGCACCGGCACCTCCCGCACCCTCTCACCCCCTCGCTGTGCTGCACCACACTGCCAAGGCCGTGCAGGGACTGGAAGTTCTGGGTGTTCACCGAGCCGAACTCCACGATCTCATCGTCCACCTGCAGACCCTGAGGAGAGGAGAGAAAATGGACAGGCAGGCTAGAGGCCAGCAGTCAGACAAACTTCCTGGCCTCGCCCCTGCGTTACCCAGCTCAGCATGGACACCGAGAACCTCAGCGGGCTCCCAGCAGAGCAGTCAGGGAGCCAGACGCCTCACTCGGGGAGTCAGCCCTGGGTAACCGCCGCCTCCTCCGGCCTCCTTCTCAGGAAGACCTGGGAACAGGCGCCCAGTGTCGCTAGCTGGTGGTTGTGGGGATGTTGCGGATCTTGGGAAAGACCAAATGCTGCTCTTTGGCGTCCTGACCCAGGGTCAAGGCAGGTCTGGGCCCACTTTATTCAATGGTCAAAATTCAGAGAAGATGAACAATCGCCCTAGAAGCCCCCAAACCAGGAGCCATAGGCACGAGGCTGGCCAAGGAGCAAAGTAACCCTCCTGTTCCGGGATCGAAGCACACAGAGCAACGATATCTCCGCCGGCCGACAGCACTGAGCTAGGGCTGTGAGCGTGGCAGCGGATAAAATGGAGTGGAGCACGTATGTGGTTTTCAGTGTTTTGTTTTTTAATTTTGCTATAGGGCATGTGCACTCACTAGAGAGAGAGAGAGACTAAACACCCCCCTTTTCCTCCATTCCCCTCTCAGGTATGTACCCAGCATGTTTTTCAAGCTGAACCGTGCAGTCATGTGGGATCCAGTCGCCTTAACCACCATGCCACCAGCTGGCCTAGAACCTGTATGTGAATCAGCCTTATGATCATTTAAGATCGGCAGGATTGGGGCCAGCAGGTGGTGTGGTAGTTAAGGTGCTGGATTCCCATATGGGCCAACTGTGGTTCAGTCCTGGACCTGGTGGCTTGCTTTCTCTCTCTCTCTGTCTCTCTCTGGTGAGTGTGTGTGTCCTGTAGCAAAGTAAAACAATAATAATAAATAAAATTAAATAATTCAAAAAAAACCCCACAAACTGAATTCAGGCCCTGATTCCACCTGTTAGGCGCTCTGGGTCCTGACACAAGTTACTTGAGGCCTTGAAGCCTTTCCACATGGGTAAAATGGGGTGAACATTAGCACCTGCTCTGAAGGTGGCTGTGGTTAAATGTAAAGCTGTGTCCACACACAAACTTGTACAAGAATGTCCAAAGCAACATTAGTCCTAACAGCCAAGAAGCAGAAACAATTCAAATGTTCATTAACAAACAGATAAACTGTGGCAGATCCATGCTATGGAACATTATTTGGCCATAAAAAGGAATGAAGTGTATACAGATACCTGCTCCAACAGGAATGGACCTGAAAACGTTTGCTACTGAAAGAAGCAAGTCATAAAAGACTATGTAGGATATGATCTCTTCATGTGGGATGTTTGAATAGGTAAACTCTATCCACACAGGGACCAACAGATGGTGTAATGGTTACATATCTTAGACCCCCACACAGTCGACCATAGTTCAAGTCCCGGACCTAGCGACCTAAAACTCACGCCGGGCGTATGTGCGTGTGTGCCCAAAACCCCAGGAGGAGAATGGAGGAGAAGGGATTGCAGCGTGGTCACTCCCCTTGGGGGGGTGATTTCTCACTTTCCGTCTCTCTGTTTTGCTCTGTCTCTCCGGCAAGCGCACACATCCTATAGCAAAATTCTCTCTCTTAAAAAAAAGAAAAAAAAAAAAGGTAAATTCTATCCATGCCAAAAGCAGACTGGGAGGACCAGCAGGTGGCATGGTGGTTAAGGCGCTGGACTCCCACATGGATGACTACGGTTTGAGTCCTGGACCTGGCGGCTTGCTTTCTCACTTTCCCTCTCTCTCACTCTGTCCTTCTCTGGTCTAAATAAATAAATTTAAATAAAATAATTTTTAAAAATTAAAAAGCAGATTGGGGGCTTCCAGAGACTGGGGGACGAAAGAGGCTGTGGGGAAAGGACCAGCAGTTAGCATAATGGCTATGCTGCTGGACTCCCATGTAGTTGACCACAGTTCGTGTCCTGAACCTGGTGGCTTAAAACTCACGCCGGGCGTGTATGCGTGCGTGCCCAAGATCCCGAGAGGAGAATGGAGGAGAAGGGAGTGTGGCATGGCCATCCCCCATGGGGGGTGATTTCTCGCTTTCGGTCTCTGTCTCGCTCTGTCTGTCGGGTAAGTGCACACACCCTATAGCAAAAACCTCTCCAAAAAAAAAAGAGGTTGTGGGGAGGGCTGGATAATCAGCACAGAATTTCTTACTAAGATAATGAAAAATATTCTGTGGATTTACTAAAAGCCCCTAAACTGTACACTTTAAAATGGGCACATTTTGTTGAATGTGAATTAAATCTCAATAAAACTTTTCATTTCTTTTTTCTTTCTTTTTTTTTTTTTTTTTGGTTTTTGCCATAGGGCATATGTGCTTGCCAGAGAGACAGAGAGAGAGAGACAGAGAGAACCACCCCTCTAGGGGTGGGGGAGTGACTACACCACAGTCCCTTCTCCTCCATTCTCCTGTCAGGATTTTGGGCATGCACATGTGCCCAGCATGATTTTGAAGCCAATGAGTCCGGGATTCAAACCGTGGTTGACCATGGGAGTCCAGTGCCTTAACCACCATGCCACCTGCCAGCCCCCAAACTGTCACACTTGAATGTAACGTACCAGTAAGGTACATAACAGCCCTGGCAACGGGCCTCCAGCAGTCCCTCTTCACCCTGCTAAAGCAAGCCTCCAGGAGAGATCCACTTCTCTCTCGGGACATTCACCACCTCTGTGTGTCTTAGCTGTCACCAGGAACAGGTCCCCCGCCAGCTCACTGGCAGTAGGGGCTGGGTCCTCTCCCAAGCCCCGACCCTGCCCTCGAAGCTGGCTTTGGTCAGTGTTTGTCCATGGAGTAAGTGACTTCAGAGCTGCAGCTAGAGAGTGTGGGCCTCATCCACACCGCTCCCCCTAACACCACCCTCAGGCTGCCTGACCACAGGGGCCCCGGTGGGGGCTCCGGATTACCGCGATGCTGGCTGGGGAGCTGGGGCTGACGCTGTTCACTTTGGCGAAGGCCTGCAGAGGGCTGTGGGTCTCACTGTGGGCCAGTCTGCGGCTCCTGGCCTCCTCGTGGGCCTCGGCCATGTCCCGGGCCTGCTTCTCCTTGTCGCGAGCGTGCAGCTGGTGCAGGGCCTCCTCCACCTGCTTCATCACCGCCTTGTGATCATTCTGCAAGCCTGGGATGAGATCCAAGGGAGACGCTGAGGTTGGGGGCTCCCCGTCACTCCCTGTGACACGCCAGGCCTTGGCCAGGGGCCCAGCCCAGTCTGGGACAGGCAGAGGACCTATCTCAGGAAGCTTGCCGTCTAGCGAGGGACCAGCACAGGCAACCACCGTTAACGCCTGGTGACGGTGACGGCTGCAGGGCCGCCCGGCCGGGGGACCTGACGTGCGCGTCTGGGGAGTCAGGGACGGCTTCCCAAGTGCGGCGGGCACCATCCTGGCTGAGACCCCAGAGATGACGGAATCGGACAAGGTGCTCCTCAAGTCTCTTCCACAAGACACACTCGCAGCTGTGACAAACACACTGAGGAACATGAGGCCTGCAGAGGGCGGAGAAGACCCTCCGTACTATCCTCCTGGCGCATGTCTGACACTGTTCCTGTGAGACCAGCTTGCGAGCGTGGTTTTCTGACAGAGATCGATAAGGAGGAACTGCTCCAGACTCTTCTTTTTGTAAAATCTAAACCTTATTTCTTACTTTGCTTTAGGGCATGCGTGCTCACGAGAGAGAGACAGTGAGAGCAAGGAAAGGAGAAAGCCAGCCGCCAGGTCCAGGCCACATGGGAGTCCAGCGCCTTAGCCACCAGGCCACCTGCCGGTCTGCTCCCTCAGATCCTTGACCGGGAGAGTCACGGAGGCAGTGTGATATTAGCACCCGAGAACAGAGCAGTGGGACAGAGTAAGAAGCCCAGAAATCAACATGCACGTGGTTGACAATGTACTGAGTACAGGCCGGCTCTAAGGAGCAGCAGCGACATGCTGCTCGAAAGCAGCTGGATCCCATGTGGGGACCACAGTTCGAATCCCTGGCCCTGTCCATCCAAAACACGTCAGGCATGTGCTAAGAGCCCAAGATCTGTGGGCGGCAGGCCCAGGAGACGGGGACGACCCTGCGGAGGCCCTCTTCTCCCACCCTCGTGAGGTCTCACGTACACACAGGGCTCTACTTGAATGAAGACAGAACATAGCACGTGACACTGCTAGAGCTCCGAGTTAGGGACGCAGGAACAGACGACTGACGGTGTCGGAAGGCCAGACCGACCACCGGGAGGGTATGAGGTTAGTGCCCCCCTTGCCCTGTAGCCCGGCACGTCTGAGTCCCCCGAGGTCTCCTGGCTGCAGAGGCGGTGGGCTGCAACTCTGCAGTCCAGAGCTTTGGCTGAAAGCCCAGAGTTCCCTGAAGCCTGAGCTTCTCAGCACGGTTTCCCCTACTCTGTGTCTTCCTACTTGTTTCCATGTAACAGCCAAATGCTTCCCTGAGATCGTCAAGACCAGTGATGCCCCACGAAGCTGTACCCCAGGGTAAAAAGCACGCCTCGCACCAGATGCACTGCACAGAGTCGAGGCTCACGCAGGTTAGAGGGCAGTCATTACAGGAAGACATGGGCGATTCCCTTCTCGTACGGCTCCAAGTGAGACCGCCACTGCCTGCCAGTGACAGGGCGAGGACGCGCCTCTCAGAGATGTCCGTGTCCCGATCCCCAGACCAGGGAGCCCGCGGCCTGCGTATGTGCAACCTCGCAGGACTTAAGGCCCTGCTGATGTGACTAAGTTCCAGACCCTGAGGGGGAGAGTCAGTCCTGGGGTATCCAGGTGGCACGGCGTCATCACAGGTGTCCTTATAACTGAGAGAGGGAGGCAGGGAGGCCAGAGAAAGAGCTGAGATGGCAGAGCTGAGGCTGGACGGTGTGACTCCCGGCTTTTAAGCTGAGTGAGGGCCAGGAGCCCAGGAACGTGTGGCCTCCAGTGGCTGGAGAGAAGAGGAAGCAGGTCCCCGCCCGCTGAGAGCCCCCACACCCCTGAGAGCCCCCAGAAGGAGCAGCCCTGCTGTCAATCTGTGTTGTTGTTGAGATTTTTGCTATAGAGCATGTGTGCTCACCCACGAGACAGAGAAACTGGCCGCGCCGCAATCCCTTCTCCTCCCGGGATCTCGGGTACACACACACCCAGCCTGAGTTGTTTTGTTTTGTTTTAAAGAATTATTTTATTTAACTTTATTTATTTATTTATTTTTAATTTGACCAGAAAGGGACAGAGTGGGGGGTGAGAAAGCAAACAACAGGTCCGGGACTTGAACTTTGGTTAGCCATGTGGGAGACAAGTACCCTTAACCACCACGCCACCTGCCGGCCCCTGGCCTGAGTTATAAGCCACTGGGTCCAGGACGCGAACTGTGTCGACTGACATAACCATCCCCCCACCTGCTGGTCCACCTGCTGACATCCTGATTTCAGTCCAGGGAGACCAGCTGGGATGTGTCACCTCCAGAGCCGCAAGATACATATTGTGTGTTTTCATTTATCCATCCTTTCTTCCATGAAAGAGATGGATGGGAAGAGGCGGAGGCAGAGAGGCCCTCCCGCGGGTCCCCATGCAGTGACCCCCCCCAGCGCGGGCAGCCCAGGACTCATGCGCGGGCAGGACCCCGCGTGTCTGGGAGGCCTCGGACATGAACTCAGGTCCCCTCCAGGCGCTTTCAGCATCAGAGCCCGATGTCACCACTATGCCACCGGCTGGCCCATACATCTGTAGTCTCTGTTTTGAGTTTTACTTTAGGGCACATGTGCTTGCCAGAGACAGACAGAGGTAAAGTGAGAAATTATTTTCAAGCCACTGGGTCCGGGACTCGAACCACAGAGTCGGCCACGTGGGATCCAGCTGCCTTAACCTCTGCGCCACCTGCAGGCCCTGTTTGTGCTGTGTTAGGCCACTAAGTCTGCAGTCATCTGTCAGGCATAAACTGTAAACTAGGAGACAGAACATCAAATGCCGGTGACGTCATTCACCCCCCACCGCCAGGGCGCCACTCACAGACCACGTTGTGCCTCGCGGTGCGGACTTGGTACAGGTCCACGTCTGCGCGCGGGTAGCCCTCGCAGTCCACCAGGGGCTCGCTCATCCCAACGCCCTTTTGCTGGAGGGAAGAAACGTGGTCAGAAAGATTTCACAGGCAGAACACAGGACCCTCTGCCCCACCCTCTTCCTTCAGCCGTAAGAAAGGCGGCAGACAAGAACTGCCACCTCCAGCCCACTGGGCGCCGACCGGGCACCTCACCCACACCTGCGCAGCTCCTCTCTGGGGGGACACCATCTTCTTTTCTCATTTTTTTCCTTTGTCAGGGGTGCCAGCACTCACCAAAGAGAAACAGAGAGGGAGGCAGAGGGAGGGAAGAAAGCACCTCCCGTGGGGAATGGTGGCCTGCAACCCCTTGTCCTCCATTTCCCCATTCTGTCAGGACTTGGGTAATGCGCGCACAGGCCTGGTGTGTTTCTCAAGCTGCTAGGGCCAGAGTTCAAACCACAAAGCTGCCCATTCGGGATCTGGCTCCTTTAACCACCAGGCCACAGAGCTGGCCCTCACATTAACTTTTCATTGATTTTTTTAACATGTATTTATTCCAGGGCCAGCAGACGCCGTAATAGTTACATTGTTGGACTCCCACGTAGTTGACTGCAGTTCAAGTCCCAGACCCAGCAGCTTCAAACTCACACTGGGCACATGTGCGTGCATGCCCAAGATCTCGAGAGAGTGGAGAAGGGACTGTGCTGTGGCCATCCCCAGAGTGATTTCTCACTTTCTGTCGCTCCGTGTCTCTCTGGTAAGCATACATGCCCTATAGCAAAAATCTCTCTAAAAATTTTTTTCCATGATTGAGACAGACAGACAGGCAGAGACAGATACAAAGACAGCACCCCCGATGCCTGATGGGTGTTGATGCCACCCATGATCCACCCCAGCCTCAGCCAGCCCCAGAGCCTGGCTACACACAATGCAAACTGGCAAGCTTCCCGTGACCTGCGTGGCAAAGCGTCGCGCTGCACACCGAGCCACCACCAGCCCCTGGATTAATTTTAACCCCGTAAGTGAGGCATGAACACAGTCTTCGTTTTTGAAGTTAGAGCAAAACAGATAAAACCAAAGCCTCCTTTGAACAGATTCCCCAAGGCCAGTCTCCTCCTCCACCCCTCCACACGCTCCTCCCCACAGGCAGCTGACACCTGGCTGCTGGCCCTGGAGGCTGGGAGGGAGTGACAACCCCCAAAAGCTACAGGGCACGTGCACTCACCAGAATATGCAGGTATATAGTCTTAGAAGACTAAAGAGTGCCCTGGAGGGTTAGGTAAATAAAGATATATTAAGGTATTCTGAGGCATGATGAAATGTGTGCTGCTTTTATTTTTAATCCTTTTTTTTTTTAGAGGTTTTTGCCATATGGCACGTGCACTCGCCAGAAAGACAGAGACAGACAGAGACAGAAAGTGAGAAATCACCCACCAAGGAGGATGGCCACACCGCAATCCCTTCTCTACCATTCTCTTCTCAGGATCTTGGGCGCGCACGCACACACACCCAGTGTGTGTTTAAGCCACCGGGTCCAGGATTCAAACCACGGTCAACTACATGGAATCCAGCGACATAGCTATTATGCCAACTGCTGGTCCCTGGTCCCTCCACTTTTTTATATTTATATATAAATAAAAACAAAAACACAGAGCAAGACTTCAGGCCTAAAGCCTTCAGCAAACAAGTAGTTAGCCAAGAGCAATGAACTAGATAAGCATTTTTACCTAATATTTAAGGGGAGAGATTTCCATTTTTCATAAGCAGAGGATTTATAAAACTTCCTTTTACTATAAAGTTCTGGAAATAACAAAGTAAGTCAACTTAAAGAAAAAGACCAAAGGAATGACAGTACGAAAGGGCAGACAGCACCCTGCTGGCGACAGCACAGTGGAGCCTGAGAAGCTGCCGGCTGTTTACGTGATCACACGGGGTCTGGGTCTAACAGGCAAGAGGTCTGAATCCCACCTGTGCCTTTCGGCAAGGGACTTGCCCCTTCTGAGCATCCAGGCATAGACCACCTTTAGCAGGCTGTGAAGACATCATGATAACACACACATACACTCCACACTCAGGCCTATAGCCAGCACCCCGCAACGTGGCCTCCTGGCCTCCAGTGACACGCCCTCTGACCCCCATCACCCACAAGGCATCCATCCTGCCCTATTTGGGAGGAATGAATCGACTCTTCCCCCACAGACGGATCTGGGGTTTTACACCGGGTGGCATGAGAAAAGCGATCAGCTCCATGACTGGACAGGCCTGGGAACCAGATCCACGGCTGTCACTTCTTAACCGTGTGACCAAGGCCAGTGTCTGCCCACTCGGGGCCTCAGTTTCCTCCTTATACAAAAAACAATAATGACCCTGGTGTGGTGACACCACCTGTAATGTCAGTTTCTGAAGGACTGAGGCTGGAGGATCAAGAGCTCAAGGCCAGCCGGGGTAGTACAGCCAAGACCCTTGTTTAAAAAAAAAAAGTGGGGGCCGGCAGGTGGTGTGGGGGTTAAGGTGGCTGGACCCTGCGTGGAAGACTCCACGTTTCAAGTCCCCGACCCGGCAGCCTGAAAACATGCTACATGTGCGTGAGTGGAGAACAGAGACTGGACTTACAGAGAGGGGGTGGCGGGGATTTATCACATTCCCTCTCTCTGTCTCTGTCTCTCTCCAGCAAGTGCATGCACCCTAAGCAAAAAATAAACAATGAGCCTTACCTGTCACTCAAAGCGTGGTCCTTCTAACAACAGTACCAGCGTCACTGGAAGTTTGCTAGAACGTAGGATCTATTCCTCTGCCCCAGCCACAGCTTACATTTCAACACATCCCTGGGGGCTAGCGGTTGGGGCACTGGACTCCCACATGGCCAAGCAGGGTTCAAGTTCCAGATGTGGTGATTTGCTTTCTCACTTTCCCTCTGTCTCTCTCTGATCAGCTCATGTGCCCTATTCCAAATTTCAAAATACTACTACTAAGAAATAAAATTAAATGAATAATTTTTTTTTTAAATCCCCAGGTCATTTCCACTTAAGTTTAAGAAGTTCTCTTGTTGGGCCAGCAGATGGTGTGGTGGTTAAGGTGCTGGACTCCCACATGGCCAGCCAGATTTGAGTCTTGGACCTGAAGCCTTGCTTCCTCACTTTCCCTCTCTCTCTGTCTGTCTGTCTCACTTTGGTGAGTACACATGCCCTATAGCAAATTAAATAATAATACTAATAATAAATAAAAGTAAACAATTTTTATTTTTAAAAAGGATTTCTATTGTAGTTAGGAAAACACGGGACACCCAGTAAACACCCAGTGGTGGGCGTGCTTACCGCCTGACTCTGCAAACACGCCAGCTCTACACATCAGGCAAGTTTAGGTAACAGCTCAGTTTCCTCCCCCTAAAGTGGAGAAAATGACAACACACACCTCAAAGGGTTGTCTTGAGGATGACATGAGCTAATTAGTGTAAAACACAGGCTACATAAACCCTCACTAGACAGCAGCTCTGTGCTTAGTTGGTTTCTTTGTTTTTTTTTTTTTTTAATTTTTTGGTTCAGTGCACTTCCCAGAGAGAGACAGAAAGAAATGGAAAATGAGAAATCACCCCATGGGGGGATGCCCACAACTACAATCCCTTCTCCTCCATTCTCTCTGGATTTGGGGGACACGTGCACATGGCGTGCTTTTCAAACTGCTGGGTCTAGGACTCAAACCATGGAGTCAGCTATGTGAGATCGCTGGATCTCAACCACTTTAGCCACCACACCACCTGCTGGCCGTTTTAGTCTATTTTTTTAAATAGTTATTTATTTAACTTTATTTATTCATTCATTTATTTTCATTTGACCAGAGAGAGATACACAGAAAGAGAAATGGAGAAAGCAGGCTACCAGGTCCAGGATTCAAACCGTGGTCAGCCATGGGGGAATGTCCAGCGCCTTAACCACCACGCCACCTGCTGGTCCCCGTTTTATTCTATTTTTAAATTGATACACAATCGTGGTACACACTTAAGGACACCATGTGAGTTCCCATGCAAGTATATACAATGTACAGTGATCCAATCAGAGCGAGGGGCAGGTCCGTCCCCTCCAACGCTTGTCATTTCCTTGTGGTGAGAACACTCGGGACCCTTCCCGCAGCCATGGTTAAATACAGCCTGAGCTCTAGATGTCACAGCTAACAGGGTCACGGAACGACAGCCGCCCCCCGGGCTAACGCTCACCCATTCTCAGCCGCACCTTTTCTGCTGTCACCGCCTGCGGCCGACAGAGGCCGCCCTTGCGGCGCCCTGGCCCCAGAGAGCGCGGCTCCTAGGCTGAGCCCAGAACCAGGCCCCAGGGCTCCCGGGCCAGGGGCCGGTCCGGAGGCCCCGGGGCCCCCGCCGCCCACGCAGCGCCGAGCCCACACTCACGCTCTCCAGCACGTCATAGTTGGCCTTGATCTGCGCCTCGATCTCCTCCTTCCGCCGCATGAGCTCCTGGATGTCGCTGACAGTCACCGCACCGGCCTGCGAGGGCCCTTCGCTCTGCCCGGCTTCCTTCGACATCGCGGGCCTCGGGAGGGCTCCTGGACACCCGGCTTCCCGGCCACGGACGGCGGAGGA